TTACACTTCAAATCAATGAAGTTCTTGTCGCTTGCAATGAATTTCCTAAATTATTGCACAAACTTTAATACTTCTAAATTTCATCAAAGGTTTTCAAGTGAACTTCTTTTTGCAAAAATTCTTTTGAGTCCTATAGTTTTATAATGAGGAGACCATGTTTCTTTCTGACATTCAGTTACACCGATTAAAAAGAAAGAGTAAGAATTTTGGAAACGTCTATTTGACTTGAGTTTAGAAAATACGAATTAGGTTGAGGACTAACGTAATTTTTAGTGTCTCATGTGCTTAACCAAAAAAAAAACAAAAAAACCTCTAATTTGTTGGAGAAACCAAAGCCAATGAAACCGAAATTTCCGTATTAACCTATATAACTTACCACTTTCTTGAGCATTGATTTCTACTCCAATCGAACAAAGCATAATAGTAATTTGAGTAGACAAACAAACTTCCCTTCTAATCCATAAATGGCTTCCTCCCTGCTCCTCCTTTTCCTATCTTCTCTTTCTCTCCTCCACCAACCGACGCCCCTCTCCGCTGCCAGCCTCCACTCAACAACCTCCCTTTTCAGATCACAACTTATTTCTGAGCCCACCTCAATTTTAAACCAGAGCACTACTCCCACCACTTTCTTTGAAGTCACCAAACCCATAAATCTTCCCAAGACTAAACCTTGTTCATATTTAGTCCTTAAACATGACTTTGGCTACACATATGGGAAACCCCCAGTTCTTGTTGATTACACTCCCCCATTGGATTGCCCATCTCAGAAATTTGCAAAAATTGTTCTTGAATGGACAGCAACATGTAAAGGCAGGCAATTTGATAGAATATTTGGGATCTGGCTTGGTGGGGTGGAGATTCTTAGGAGCTGCACTGCTGAACCAAGAGCAACTGGTATCATTTGGACTGTTAAAAAGGATATCACTAAGTATTATTCTTTGCTCATTACTAATCAGACTCTTGCTATTTATATGGGCAATCTTGTTGACAAAACTTATACTGGTGTGTACCATGTTAATGTTACTCTTCATTTTTACCCTGCTGAAGAAAAATATGGTAAATTTGAGGTTAATTACGGTGAATTAGATTATGGATCTGGTTCTGGGGCTGATTTAATATTGCCCATTTCAAGAAACTTGCCTTTGAATGATGGGTTGTGGTTTGAGATTGAGAATTCCACAGATGTAGAGTCGAAAGAATTCAAGATTCCACCTAATGTATATAGGGCTGTGCTAGAGGTCTATGTTTCATTTCATGAGAATGACGAGTTTTGGTATGGGAATTATCCGAACGAGTACATTGAGGTGAATAACCTTACTGGAGTACCGGGGAATGGACCTTTTAGGGAAGTTGTCGTAAGTTTGGATGATAAGGTAGTTGGTGCAGTTTGGCCTTTTACAGTGATTTACACCGGAGGCGTTAATCCCCTATTGTGGAGACCAATCACTGGAATTGGTTCGTTCGATCTCCCTTCTTACGATATCGAGATTACTCCATTGTTAGCAAAGATTTTGGATGGAAAGGTCCATACTTTTGGGTTTAGCGTTACAAATGCTCTAAACGTTTGGTATATTGATGCAAATTTACATCTTTGGCTTGATAAGAAGAATCAGATGACGGAAGGCAAAGTTTTAAATTACAATATGGGGCTTCTGAAGGTATCTCTTTTGTCGAATTTCACTGGTTTTGATGGATCATTTATTACAAATGTTGGTAGGTCGTTGACATATAGCGGATGGGTGAATTCATCTCATGGAAAGATCTTGACGAAATCTTTCCAAGGATTCAGCTATAGTAATGTTATGGTGATGGGGAACAACGGGAATTTGCAGATCATTAATCAGACAATACATTTCAATAGCACCGTTGATGCCAAGAAACCATCATCGTCCGTCCACTCTCTCAGATCATTCAAAACATTTGACTTTTATGATTATTCTAACACTGTCGATAAAGGAAATGATACCTATGCTTCTCTAGCTAATCTAACATTGGGCTTCAAGGAGAAGAAGGAAAAGAATTCCGATCTTGGATTCTTTACGAGTACTCTAAATAATATACAAAATGCCCAGGGTTATATGCTTGTTAAAGGCAACTTAGTGGTCAGTGGATTGGGCAGCACCCAACAAGAATACCGATATAATGACAATAAGTTCTGCTATTTTAGAAGTGTAAGCAGCTCAAATTACACCATTCTGCATGACAAAGAAAGCAATACTTGCAGCAAAAAACAGGGGCTTGGCCCAAGGCGCCCTGTTACTACTCAAACGACCTTTCTGGCACCAAAATTTCATGGTAAATACAAAGGAGTCTGACTTCACTTCATTTGGTTGATTCTTCTATTCTGTCGAAAAGCAGTTTGTTTTAGGACAAGTAATACGGATTTATTAGGACTTTTTCTTGTATTCTAATGATTTTGTGACTATTATGATTTTTCTTTTGTGCAAGTATGCTCTGAATTTGTGATTTCACGTGCATGTTTTCTTCTGCAGTATGGCTTTAATTCCTTTTTACTGGTCGAAAAGTGTTTTTCTCAATTATAATTTTCCTTTTAGGCCAAGTATACCATAGTCAGCGATGAAGCTCTGTATTATCAGAAGTTACATATCACTAATTGTTTGTGCCTCTGAAATATTGACATGAAAAGTTTGTTTGTACGCTCCCCATAGAAATTATAGAATTTCAAGTTTATTCTAATTTTTCATTCTTCATCGTACATTCTTTTAAAGATAAATATTTATGGTGCATCTGTGTGAAGAGCTGCAACCCCATCCTGTCATACTTTCTTCTCTAAATCAACTTATCATTTTTTGAGCTCGAAAGCCCATAGATTAAGGTAGAATACTCTATTTGATTGACATCAACTCCATGTTTTTGAAACTTCGTTTGTCTGCGCTTCTTTTTTTTATGAACTTAATCAATTTTTACCCAGTTTTCTGGTTCTAAGAATTTGTGATGGAAAACACATTTCCAAGCTTGATTAGTCGAATATGTGACTTTTGAGGCCAGAGTTAGATATACTGTTTGAGTTGGATACTTGAGAGAACTATTGATTATTTTGCTTGCATTCATAGAAGCTATATCTCTAAATATTTTACTCTTTACTTGAAATGAAGAGTGCTTCTACTTTGGCAGCTTATTTGTGAGAACGTTTTGAAGGAATTGAAACTATATGAATCCAGAATACTATCCTTTCAAGTGCAACTATGTTAGGGAGGATTGGATACTTCGTGACAATATTATGGAAAGAAAAAGAAGTAGACGTCCTCGTTTATTATAATGTTCTGTCTTGTTTAATACTATGTACCAAACATGAACTGAGTGTGTGAAAGAAGTCTTTCAAAATGATGACCTGGCTCGAGCTTTATTTGTGAATTTTTCTTTTGTTGCGATTGTCTAAACAATATAAATGTGTCTTACGTTCTCTTGCAAATAATTCCCTACTGCTTAATGCCAATTACAAAGCTTATTTTGCTCACTTGTAAGATTCTTCTCGAGTTTTTCTTCACTCTAAACCTAATCAAATTAGGACATATTTAGCCTGTGTTTCTCCCATTCATTCGGAACTTTTTTCTACATATTTATTTTCAAATAAACATTCACACAATAAAATATTTTACACGTAAATTCAAAACTTTTCACTGCTTTTTAACTATGCATTCTTAAAAAATTCGCTATTCAAAACAATATTTTTCCAAAAAATGGCCATCAAACAGGGCTTAGTATGAGCCCGTTTGGTAGAGATTAAAATCAGATTAAAATTGAAAAATTAGTCGTTATTGTTGACTTTTATTAGACGAGTGGGGCCCAATAACGGCTATATTTTCAATTTTAATTGGATTTTAATCGGTACCAAACGGGCCCTATGTAACACTTGACATACCAATATTATATATAAAAAATTTTAATTTTAATTTTTTTTTAAATTTCGTTAAGTCGAAATAGATGTTGAACTTGTAGAGTAATAGTAGGGAGAGTTGACGTGATGCTTATTGTGTATCAAACATGAACTAAGTATGAGAGTCTTTCAAAGTGATGAGCTGGGCTCGAGCTTTATTTGTGAATTCTTCTTTGGTTGAGTTTGTCTAAACAATACAACTGTGACTTCTGTTCTCTTGCAGATAATTTCCTACAAATTATACTCATAAGATTCTTCCTAAGTTTTTCTTTACTCTGAACCTAATGAACTTATTACATATTTAGTACGTAATACTTGGACATATCAATATTATACATAAAAAATTTAAGTTTTTATATTTTATTTCATTTTCTTCAATCCAAATAGACGTTGAATTAGAGTAAGAAGAGGGAGAGTTGAATTCAATTCCAATGAAGTAAGATATCATCTCGATTTAACTATCTTTGTTGACTAACCTCTAGTCAGAAAAAAAAAATGGTTTCACTTTCACCCCAAGAAGTCATATGGGCATCACTCATCTTCCATTACATTGGTACAAGTGAAGCTTAATGGGGCATAGTATCTTTTAGGAGTTGAGAACCCTTTTTTTTTTTGAACTTGTCGCGTTTCAATAAAGTTTTGACATTGTGATATAAGACCTCTCTATAGCAAATGGGAAAAGGCCAATGTTTCAGAAATGAGAAAGATGTTGAAACAAGCAGCGTTTCAAAGCCGCAAGTGTCTTTTTTAACGATAACATGAATAAAAATTCTTAATAAGGGTGGTCACCCTAATATTGAGGACTTGAATGTTATGAATCAAAGGTTGAAAAGGACTTATTTCACAAATTTAATAGGTTGGCAACCTTTGTTACAATTTTCCTTATTGGATAAAATTAAAGAAGATTAAAGTTCACTTATTATTCACACATTTTGTGGAATTCATTACTGGTTTTCATTGTAATCTTATTATATTTTTTTTCCAAACAAGTCACAAGGACTAACTTTTACAATTTCATAATTTGATTAATTTTCAGTGTTCTAAAAGGCATAAAGGGTGGTTAGGAGTGGATGAAAAGTTTCAAGCTTTACCAGTTATGCGAGGTTTATGCGGAAAAAAAATGTTTTCTTATTTTTAATATTATTTTAAATTTTTAATCATTTCAAAAATTATTTAATCATTAAAATAATACATATCAAACATCTAAAATTATAAAATACTATATTTACTTAATAATTTCTACCATTAGTTAATTATACAATTTTCAAGTTTTCAAAATACAATAATTAAAATATTTTTCATAATTTCAATTTTTAACTAAACAATTTCTACATAATAGAATTATAGAAACTTCAAATATGCTTTTGGACTTGGCAACAAAATAACGATTCTCAATATGATAATTACGCAATATAGATAGCTCCATAACTTAAATCTTATTTAACTATTAGATGAAGTCATTTTAAGTTTTGTACAGATGAAATCTTTTAAAAACTTAAAATTAAATCAAAATGAAAAGTTTTTTTAAAATAAAAAAAAATAATAAGGAAAAGTCAAATATAATACTTGTAGAAAAAAAAAATTAATAAAGCGTACCTAGGGAAGACGAGAGTGAGGAAAAAAATTCAGCTGTCTAAAAATTGAAATAAAAAAGTGTCTAAACGTGAAGCAAGATGTTAAGGAAGACGAGAGTGAGGAAAAAAAATTCAGATGTCTAAAAATTTTTTAAAAAAAATGGCTAAACGTGAAGCAAGATGTTTTGCCTGAACTTCGAGCTTAGGCAATCCCTAGGCATCGCCGCATGAGTTTTTTAGAACACATTTAGAGAGTGTTTGGGAGCAATTTTTGTGGGATTTTAATCAAAATTATAGCCGTTATAGTCAACCTGTGGGCCCCACCTGTGAGAGGGAAAGTAAAAAGTGGTGGCTGATTTGATAGTAACGGCTAAAATTTTGATTAAAATCTGGANAAAGTCAAAAATGGTGGTTGATTTGATAGTTAACGGCTAAAATTTTGATTAAAATCTTGATTAAAATTTCTCCCAAATAAGGCCTTAATTTCTAATTAATCCCTTTTACTTCGAATCAGTCGGGCTAATATCGAGCGAGCCCAGTTAAACAAACCCAAAGTTCGGGCCATAGTTAATCTAAAATGGGCCAAGAGGGGGGCTTTGTCCCGACAAGGCCCAACTAAATTCTGACAACGCTGTAAATAATTGCTGAGGAATAGTATTGACAGTTGAGTATTTTGACTCACTCACCAGAAACAGAGAGATAAGAAGAGAAGGGTGAAGAAACATAGAGAAAACGAATCACAAAATCTCGTCCCCTACCCAAAATGGGCTTCTCCTTATTAACCAGGTTAGCTCTCTGTTTATATGTCTATGAATTGTTTGCTAAGTGAGTATAATTCTTGCTATTGACTTGCATTTGGTGTTCAACAGTGCGTGCTGCAGTTATTGCAATTTGGGGTTGGGTTCGAAATCGTCGAGCTTGTTTTTAAGCCTGGATTTTCTTCCCAACTCTAATCCTAACGGACTTCTGTTGACTCCCAAATCCCATAAGTTTAATTTCCCTCGCGCGTGTGCTTCTCCTTCAGGTATAGTTATTGCTTTTTAGTGAATAACGTTTATGTTTAGATATTTAGGGCTGGGACTTAGAAATATTGATTTCATAATCGTTTACATTGCTGAGATGGATGCTGTTTGAAACTACAGAATGTGTGAACATTTATGAAGTATATAGTTGGACCATTGAGGCACATTGGAATACACGTGTTTTATCGTTTAGAAATTTGAATAATTTTCAAGATAACAAAATTGCGCTTATGCGTTAGAGGTAGAGAATCTTCACTCCTATACTTCATTAATGCTTTGTTTCTTAGTTGCCTTTATTTGTTTGTAGTGTGAAAATTTTCCATCTTTGCAAGGGAAGATAGAATTGAAAGAACATGGTCACTGTTGTTTCTTGTACTTCTCTTTTATTTTTTCCTTTCGCACATATCCTGCTTTAGTAGAAGAGTGGAGACAAGAAACATATGCTTGGAGTTGGATTTATGAGTTTTTATGTGTAAGCGTAGACAAAGAGAATGACAAGAGGGAGGGAAGCACAATAAATATCACGTCAACTCGACCTGGTTATGTAGAGGGTTGAGTTGGTCGATTAGGCATTCTTTAATGAGGGTATAATTCACATTTTGCAATTCATTAAGTAACAAAAGGACCTCTTTTAACAAAAAAATCAATACAAGGCCTTTTTAACCCTTGAAAAGGGCCTTTGGAAAAAAAAATAAAATCCCCATGTTAATTTTGACTTTAGGGCTCCTCGTGGAACTTGGAATCATGAGGGAATTTTAGGTGCTTGCTTTTTCCTTTTTTTTTTTTTGTAAGATGTGTTGAAACATCTGTGAGGGGAAGTA